CAAATAGGTAAGGTGCCTGCAGGTACACCTTACAAATCAATTTTATTATAGGGTTATTTTTTCGGGGTTATTCATTAGACAAATCCTGCCCGCTACAGCGTTCCCRAAGTTTGGTATATGCCCTATCATTACCATTGTTACTAGTAGTAACCAACAGGWAACCTTTATGACTTAATATTATCACTATCTACAAATAATTAATTGTTATCAAACAAATTATTTTAAGTAATTTTGTATCAATTTATATTTTTTTAGTTTCTTAAATTTCATATTATACTGTATAATGGACTTATTGTTATTAATTACCAATAATAAAAGCACCTACTCATTAAAATAATTATTTTATTTTAAATTTAAATAAAAAAGAAAAAATGATTGTTCATGGGGTAAAAACTATATTACCTCGTCGTAACTTATCATATTTTGGAACCACGATTTAAGATATAGGTATACGGAAAAAAAGCCCAAAAAAATATATTTTACACAATATATTTACATTTATTTATAGATACATAGTATTTAATTAATTTTTTTTTAACTTCAGTTAAATTTTGTATTGTTTTAATTTAGCTTTTTATAGTTAATTATCATTATTGTACAGTTAAGTTAATTTACAAGTAAATCATGTGATTTGGGTAGTTAAAGGTAACATCAGCGTGTAGCTGAATTTACTTTATAGTTCAACCTAAATAAGTTATATTTAAAATAGCTATAATGTCAAAATCATTTTGTATTAAATATTGATTCTAATAATTGTATTAATAAATGAGTTAAATTAATCCCAGTAAATGATTATTAATTAACCCTTAATAAGTGTTTTATTGTTAATTCAACACTAGATTTGTACGTGTGATAGTTAACAATACAATCTATATTATTATGTTACCACAAGTCCAGAAACGTGAATATTTTGTATTTTTAATATTTTGTTCTTATGTTCTGTTAAAAATATATTATTCTATCACAGAAATAAAAATGTTATATGATTGTAAATCCATTGTATATATTCAACAATCAACCACATTTTACAAAATATTACAATTTACAATGATTGCACTTTTATTTTCTTGGGCTTTTTTTCCGGGGTATATTTTTCAGTTTGGGTTTTTTTTCCGTGGCCATTTTTTCCGCCTACCAGGTACAGCTGTTTCAGATAGTTCACCGGTCAAAATATGGGTGTTTGATACGCAACCGTCAACCTGTATATCTTAAATCGTGTGGAAGACTGAATTCTGATGGCCTATTCCACGGCGTTAGAGGACCGTGCCACCGTGGCCTATCCATTGATCATTATAATATATTATCTATTGCGGGATAGAATGATAAATAAATGGATTATTTCTAAAATATTAGGTTAGCTGATAGTGTAAATAAGTGTAAAATCATGAATAACAAATGAAAAAGTGAAAACGAGACAGTAAAAAAAACGTTAAGGATGAGAATGTATGCTAATATGTCGAATTTGCTATGAAAATAGCAAATATCTTTTTCAAGTCAATCAATATAAAAAAATCACAAATATATTTTTCATTCAATGCTCGTCYGCCTTCTACAAGTAACATATGGCAAACTATCCCGGAAACTTCTTAATCGACTTTCTTAGATTGTTTTGGATACAGAAAAAAATAAGATAGCGAATTCGGTTTTTGAATTTTGATTCGACTATTTTATTATAATCAGCTCAATAATAAATAAAGTTCATCATTTAATCGAAAAGAGTGTTCTCTGCAAATTTTGAACAATAACTGAAAATCCCTTTTCCAAACTCAAAAATTTTCTTTATATTTAAAGTCTTTAAAAATTGAACACAATGTTCCCCACCAACCACAGATCAATAAAAACACTGACTGGCCAGGATTTTTT